CCAATAGCTCTCTCTCTCTCTGTCCAGTGTGCACTTTGGATTGTGCCACGTGTTGGGTTGACGTCGGGATTCGGCGCCGAGACCGCACGCTGGACAGCCGGGGCGGCACGAGGGGGAAGACCCGCGCAGCAACTGAAAACCCACAAGCAAACGCGCTGTCTGCCATTTCCGTGGCTTCTGAAATGGATGTCACTTCACGTGGCTTTACGGACGCTTTTGGAGACAGCATACGATCGCACGCAGGTTGCGTGTGGTGGGGTAAAGTGTGGGCACGGCCTCCTCTTCCAACACGTCTGACTGGCGTGGAAGAGTAGGCCAAATAGTGTCAAGAGCAGTCTTCTTCACTAATTTCAAGACGGGGGAAGGGGAGAGGGGGCATTTTTCTCCGATAAGACATCATCAGTGTGAGGCCAGCCCCACCGCCTGCAAGTGTTGCTTTCGCTATTTGTGTCTTGTCGGGGGGCCACAGGTCAGGGTAGCGCACTAAAGGCCACCAATGAGGCCCGCCAGTGGCCCCTCGGTGGCCTTGCAATGAAGAACACCGCTCTCTGTAACACGCTCTTCCTGACGCATGTTTTTAAATGTGGAGAGGAAAACCAGATGACGCGAAGAAGAGTCCACGCCACCACGTGGAGAGAGAGACACGCAAACTCCAAATATACAGCAGACGTCAGGGTCGGGATCGAACCCACGACCTCCTGCATACCAGGCGAGGTAATTGACATCTCGCCGCCGTGGCCGCCCATATCGTTAACGTCTGAGTCGGGAAATCGAAGCGGCGACCTCTGCGTTGCAAATCCGGTGCGCTGATTTAAAAAAAAAAACATGCGTGCAGAGGCCCTTTCCGCCAGCAGCGGCGTGATCAGGTGCCATTGCAGGGCTGCACCTTGAGTCCGAATCGACCCTCTGTGTGCGGCGAGACCCCGACGGTTGGGCCGTGCCACACCGCCCGGGAGGTTTTGAGCGCCGCGTCGCGCCACGAGGAGGAGTCGAAGCCGCAAGTCTGCAAGCACCGTGGGCAAAACATCCCCGGCCGATTTTTTTAAGTGGAATTTATGGGCGCATGGGAGAGTGAGTCAACCAGACTTACTTGCAGGTGCGCTTAAAACACACACACGATCTAATTGGGTTGTAATTCTTGTAGCAAAGTGACGTCGGCTCGGGGGATAACGTGAAGATCTAATTTACTTGCCGGCGCCATTTCATTATCAACGTTTAGTCAATCATCGTCACGGATATACCTCGTCATTGATACTGTAGCTCGTGTTCGTCTTACTGATTACACTACTTGAGATAACGTCACCCCTTGCGTATTTTTCATTGCGATCCGATTATTTGTTTACTTTTGAGAGTGATTCATTTTGCAAGCGGGAGGTTGTGTGTTCAAATGCCGGTTATGTCTCCGATGTTGGTTAAAATGAGCACTGCCATTTGTGGAATGCTGTACCGTGGATGCCAGTAATCTGGTCAATCCATTCTCCATACAATTGTTCACTTTCTTTGGATAAGACCAGCCCGGGGGGCCACATGTATGACAGCTGTGACTGACATGTGATTGACGTGCGCGTGCCACGCAGGAAACCGTGCTTTAACAGGCACCCACAGGAGCACAGTGAGAACGGTCTCACCTATTTCATTTTATTGTAAAATAGTTCGTCTTTTACCAGGTGAGGCCGACTGAACTATATAGCTCCTTTTTTCTCAAACGGATAGCTCAACGAAGTGGCTCATCATGTGGAAATTGCACAGCAGCCAAATACTCTAAACGCGTGATGCTGATTCTAAGTGGTGAGGGGAAAACCGGAGCACGGGGAGAAAAAGACACGCGACCGCGGGGAGAACATGACAAACTCCAAATAAACAGCAGCAGGCGTCAGGGTCCGGATCGAATCCAAGACCTCCTGTACACCAGGCGAGGTAGTTAACATCCCACCAACGTGGCGCCTTAATCATCATCCAGGGCCGCTCGTAGGAGCGATAAGTACAGTAATGTTCGCGAGCACCCTTTAAGGGTGCAATGTGACGCTCTGCTCTTTGTGAGGGTTCCACAAACCCATTTCTTTCTCCCGTGACACAGTAAAAAAAAAAAAACATATTGAGCACATTTTTTAAATTAAAAAATAAAGTTTAAAAAAAAATCCAGAAACGTTCGCCAAGATACACATGAATGACAAGAAGGCTCGTTTAATTTAGAAAACGGAGGGGATTTATTCATTTAACATTTGCAAAAATTTTTTGTAACACATCAATGCAGTCACTACAATGAACGGTTCGAAAATGACAAGCACACGGAATCGGTTTGGCAAGACTTCAGCCCGGGCCAGATTCCAGACAGGTCTTGCGCGTAACAGAGATAGTTTTTTTTTAGGGAGCGGGGGAGGGGGAGACAGACGGGGGGCCCGAGGGGTAGGCGTTTTTTTATTTGAACGCAATGTGTCACCGTCGCTGTACAACCCATGCACCCCCCCCACCCACCCACCGCGATTGAAGCAGCAACGCACCCGCTCACAACCCCCTCGGTCGACACCCGGCAGGAGACGCCGCGAACCTTGCGGTCTGCTTGAAGGCGTCCGCTTGAAGGCGGCCGTCGGGGTCAGTGTCGGCTCTGCGTCACTCGTTGAAGCAAACATTTTGTGTGTGTGTGTGCGTCTGTCTCAGTTGTTCAGGACGTGAGAACAAAAAAAAATAACGGTGATCGCGCAACATCGAGCGCGTGGAGACAAATAAATAAATAAGGAGAGCGGGTCCTGGGTGCGATGCCCGGGTTGCTCTCCGTGGTGCTAGATATTGCCTTCCCGTGGATGCACGGGGAATCCGTGCGAATCACTGGCAGGAATTTACACGCGATTGTGGCGAGAGAGAGGGGGGGGGGTATTTTTCTTTTATTCACAAATGATTACAAAACTTATTAACATTACATGCAATGTCAGAGTCAATTGGATTTGATCGCTACGCTCCGTCAATGTTCCCGTTCCCTTCTCCCTTCCTCTTTGTTTCCCAAATGCAAAAAAAAATCAGGGCTACGTCTGACGCAAGCCACATCTCACAGACCAGATAATCACGCGTGAGGTCTGGTTGGAGGAACAGCTCGCAAAGTCCGGTTCAAAACAACAACAAAAAAGTGCACACATCTCCGCGTGCGTGCTTTTGTCTGTGTGTGTGTGCGCGCGTGATAACAGTATGGGGAGCGGTAGTGTAGCGGTTAGTGCGCTGCGCTACGAACCCGGCGACCCGAGTTCGATACCCGCTCACGGCCAACACCCAGTGACGATTATCTGAACCGGTTCTGGGCCTCCCCGAGGTAAACTCAGCCTCAAATGAGTACTTGGTGTGGTGTGTAAACATCGTCACTGGGGAGACAAAGGCGGCCGGGCTTGGTGCTGGCCACCCACCCTCTCGTGTGCCGTGCCTTCCTTCATAGGTGCTCGCTAACAGCACTTGCCCCAAGTCTGTTAAGGCTATGCAGGGGGATCTTTGTGATAAAAGTCACCACCTTCCATGGATAAAATCTGCCGCCGGATAAATTTCCAATGTACAAACGTGGACTGCGTATGACGGTCGACGGGTGGACTGACGGGTGAAGCTTGGGTGGACTTCATTTCCGCAGGTCAACTCCACCACCCACTCACAGGGGCATGAGCTTTATACATTTATAACATAAAACACTGTTATAGACAGAAACACACAAGATCCTAAAACATGTAAACTCACAGGTCGACAAGATTAAATGCCATGCTTTTTGCTCGCTCAGTTGCCATATAAACAACTAATTTCAACAGTACATCACAACAGTATTCCTCTTCAACGGAGGCTCGGTGAGATCCGCAGGGTTCGTATATTTACACCAGTGCCTGACTTCACGCACTAGAAGCAGATGACAACATCGTAGTGGTCCGGGAATTGGGGTCAGTGGGGAGGGCAGACCTTCCTAACACAATATTAAATACAAACCAGCCATTCTTCATTATTGCAATGCTGTTAAATAACGAAACTAAATAAAAACGTACAATTGACTTTCTAGTAATGCACATAGGTTTTTACACGCAATGTACAAATCGGAAATAAGCTCTGCGGCCATTTACATTTGCATTCTTGATAATACTGCCAAGTTATTTGCATATCATAGCAAAAAACAAAAACAATTGTACACAAACACAACCGGCTCTTTGGCAACTGTGACATTTCCGTGTTTGCAGCACATTTCGGTTGCGCCGGTAAATCGCTCAGCGGTGAAGTGGGACCCAACTGGTGCGCTTGACAGCGGCCTGTTCTGAAATGTACGCTCGCGAACCGCGCCACCACCCCCCCTCCCCCCCCCCCCTCTTGCCGTGTACAGAAAGACGATTGTGTTCCCCCGTCGCTGAGGCGGTGGTGGAAGTGTTTGTGCCAGCCTCTCAAAGGGGGCACGGCGGTGGCGAGGAGATGTTAACTCCCTACGCCTGGTACACTGGAGGTTTGAGGGCTCGATTACCCAACCCTTGACGCCTGCTGCTGCTGCTCTTGTATATTTGGAGTTTGCGGTGTCTCTCTCTTTCTCTCTCCCTGTGGTCTCGTGGATTTTTCTCCGGTTCCTCCGGTTCCTCCGGTTCCCCCCCCCCCCTCCACATTTAGAATCCGCATCACGCGTTTAGAGTATTTGGCTGCTTTAAATGTCCACGTGATTAGCCGCTTGGTTGTGCTATCATTTGCGGCCAAGTCGCTTCTGAAAACGAACTATATAGCTCAGTGGGCCTTACACCTGGTAAAATAAAATAAAAATGTGTTTAGTTTTAAGGACTGGGCCTCTCTCACGTGGTCAAGAAAAATGAATGTTTGGCCCACGGGCGCTGTGGTTGGAGGGCCTCTGTCTCCACTGGAAGGGTTGCACATTAAGATTATTGTTGGCGGGTCGGCCTAGCCCATCATCTCTTCAGAGTCGATAAAATACCTACCACGTAGCACTTGAAGAGTGGTTTGTTCTATGGATAGACTGGCCACTGCCATGAGAATGTGTAATGTGGGGTTAGGGCCACAGGTTTAGAAGACTATTTGTGTTTGAACAGGGAATTAGCCCAAGTGAGTGAAAACCCCACGTGACTTTACACAGAATGGGGGAACAGTATTGAAACTCATGAAACATGACGTCGGCTTACTTTTCAAAACTAAATCGGTGTCTGATTATTGATTACTCGAGGGTTCTCAAGTAACGTGATGCAGTTTCTAATGTCAAATGACGACGTAACTTTTTTTTTCCCGCACGATATTTTTTTTTGGTATATTGATTTGACCTCCCAAACGCCAGCGCTGCCGTGCTGTGACTGCAGGCTGTGTTTCGCCATGATATTGTTTGTCTTTGTAACGTTCTGACGCCCAACCCCTATCGGACATTTGTGGTAAAAAAGGGCTCCACAGCTAATCGCATTCCTCCAGTATAAATAAACATTCAGATTCTGATGATCTGTGTGCGCTGGCGCTGCCGTCCTCACATCAACCCGAGCTGCTGACTCCCTTCCGTTGACTCTCTTTACTTGTCGCAGAAAATATGTTCACATTTTGAAAATGACAGTCATCGTAAAACGTAAGCAAACCCGCACGTGCTGTGATAGAGGTAATCCTATTACACGCTGAAAGTGGAGTACACTTTGGGATTTCCGGCACCTGCCTTTGGTAATCAGATTACGGTAAAGCACCGTTACGTGGAACGCGTTACTCCACAGCGCCGCTTACAAAAGTTAACGACGGCGGTTTTGCGAATCGCGCAATCGAATTACGGGCGCCGGGGTTTTGTTCAATTAAAGGGAAGCTCCTAAGTTTGTGAGCAGTGACTCGGGCGCCCGCGAAGTAAATCCACTTTAAGTTATCGCGCTTACATCTGGCCCGCTGCCGGTGTTTTAGACGTCACTGGGGGGGGAAACAAACGGAGAGATTGACCAGAAAGCGGCCGCGTTTGGGCCGCTCGTGAGTAAAATTGTGCCGACACACAGTGTGAAGTGTTTTAACCGTCCCTGTCCAAACTGCACCTCCGCCTAATGGTGGCTGGGGCTGGAGCTGCAAAACCCATTATGAAAATGTCGTGTGGAGTAAGATTTATACCGGCGGTCCCCGGCAGAAACACTCCTAGGGGATGGCGAGAGTGGGGCCATTACTGCCTCATTTACCCGAAAAACTCATTTATCTTTACTCGGGGAGAGAGTGCGAGGGGGTGGCGGAGTGGGGAGACGGGAGAACGGGGGAAGGGAGAGCGGGAGGCGGGGGGGGGGGAGCGAAGGGAGACACAGCCTGGGAGCCGTGAGGGTGATTTGTCTAAAAAGCTATTAAGTCCTTGTCATGTCAATTTCAATCATGGCGGGGTGTGGACGGATCTCGGGGCACTCCCTTTGTAGAGTGCGCAGTCGCTGTGGAGCGGGAAGCGCATTTACATGTCCCTCGATTGCCTGTCGAGCATTGCTGCCAATAAATAATACGTGACAAAATGTTTCCGGTGCGCTCCTTGGCCTCCTTCTAACGCTAGGTACGCATTGCCGAGTGTCAAAGCCGCGAAATAATACATGTTTTTTTTTCTTTTTTCTCTCTCAGATTTTCCTCTCTCTCTCTCTCCCCCTCCCCCTCGCTCGCTCGCTCGTCACTCGGCTCTTTATCTCTCCTCGCTGCGTCTCCCCTAATGAAGCGCGGAGCGACGTTTTCCAACGGCCTCTGGCGCGTAGTGCAAAAAAAAAGTAACTGAAAAATATGTTTTGTTTCGCAACAACCTTTTCCACCGAAGTTGCTGTCCACTGCGATCGAGTCGGAGGCCTGTTTTTGGGTGCCTGCCGTGCGGCGTCGGGAGAACTCGTTAAAAATTTGGTGTTCATTTATTGAAGGGTGAAAATGTTCCACACTTCAGCGATGTAATGTTTAAAAAAAACGATGAAAATAATTTTTGTTCACAAGAGAAGCAAAAAAAAAAGTTGTCATTTAAGAAAACACAGCCAGCAACACTAGTTATATACGACAGACCATGTGCTTTCTAATTTAATTAACTACAACTTTCAATTAGCAACATTATTTATTTTTATTTGAATACCTTTCAAATTGAATGGAAACAAATTAGCAGTATATATTACATAAAACATGTTTGCCAGGTTTCACTTAAAATTCAACTTCGCTGATTAAAAACTCGGCTCATTGAATGAACCGTAATTGCCAATTAATTTCAACTTCACTGCCAATTAAAACAATTTGGCCTCATAGCGTGCAGTTCCATCAGCGTACCACAGTAGACGGAGCACCGAGGTCATAAACAGTTACTGACCAAACAATTTAATTATGGACATTCGTTGGGGAATCCGCTCTATTTAACTCTCGAGTGGACAAGACGATAATCAGCTCACGCGGTTCCGCGATGCATTATTTAGGCCGTTACACGAACCGCGTTTACACAGCAACTAAAGAGGGTACCAAAAAAAAATTAGAAGGGGCCATTTAAAAAGGGTGGGGATGTTTCGGGGGGTTAATATAATTGTGTTTAAATTCAACTCGAGCGAATGTGCTCTTTCCCGTAATGAATCTGTCACGGGTGAAGCCAGCGCCACTTTCATCGATGACGCTGGGGGACTGTTTTCGAAGCGCGAGAGAACTGCGGGACGGTTGGCGTTGGTGGGCAGCCGTTGCATCGCTCCAGTTCCTTCATGACTCCATCATTCGCAACGACTGCCTGATTGAGTCCAAAAATGCAGCGAGTTGGGTTTTGGTAACGATTACAGGTTTCATATTCTTGGTTCTTTCGGTAAAGTCACGTAGAAGGGAAACAATAGGATAATAAAAATATGAACATTTTTATTGTTTTATAAAACAATTTTATTGTTTTATATTTTTATTGTTTCCCTTCTACGTGACTTTACCGAAGGAACCAAGAATATTAATCCCTGCAGTCACGAAAGCTTTAAGTCAAAATTTGATTACAGGTTTATTTTTTTTCCTTCCCCACTTCTGGTTTGAACGTAGATTCGTTTCCTTCACGTGTAGCTGCTGACAGTTGTGGGGGGGAGGGGGGGTGTGCCGAAGGGAGGTCAAAGTTCATCTCGAAAAGTTTATTTTCCACTGGTAGCCAGCGAACTGAATCGGAGTTGAGTCGCGTGGGTTCGTGAAGATGTGACGACGTACCGCCTGCTTAACTTCTGCGGATCTGCGATGACGTCTCGGTTTCCAACAATTTTGGCGACAGTGGTGTTCGGGGACAACCTTGGGGAAGAGGGCAGTCCGTTCGTTGTTTGCTGCTGCTGCTGCTGTTGTTGCTGCTGCTACTTCTGTTGCTCTGTTTACCCTCCCCTGTCGACCACGCTGACATAACGCGGAAGGGAGGCTGGCGCGCGTTGACGCACGTGTTCCCTTGCTCACTGACCCCGATGACAACAGCCCGACCAAAGAAGACCCGACGCTTCACGTCAGTTTCAAATACAGCTTCTCAAAGGTCACATCAGACTTGTGGCCCAGGGAACAAAAGAAAGAAAAAAAAAAACATAAAGAAGAGAAACTTTCAATGCTGCTCACAACCGTAGGCGAGCCTCCTCCGGTCTTGAAAGGCCTCCCTGGAGGCCGACATTGCAGCCGGGGCCGCATTCAAAGATAATTAACGCGTGGGCTTTAACGAGCTGAGCTTTAGCGTTGCTCGTCTCGATGGTCTTGAGTTCCGAGTCAAAAAGCTGCGAGGCGTGTCCTGAGGGCCTGCTCGTTGAAAAAGGCCTCCTGGCTCGCCTGGTTGGCGCCGTCTTGCTCGGGAGTGGCGCGATCCCAGGGCGTGAGCCTGCAGGCAGGCCTGGGCCATCGCCGTGGCAGCTAGTGGCGGTCGTAGCCCGTGGCGGTGGTAGGGCCCCGGGCTGTGGCACTGTAATAATACGGGGAGCCTGCAGGTTGTGAGGAGAGAGAAGGCCACGGATTAGCAATGCTTCATAATGGCTGCAATGTACTTCATTATGGCTACAATGATTTATGCTTCAACTATAACCAATCGTATCTTATCAGCCCTTTGTCAATCGACTGCCGTGTCAGCCATGGGGGTTGTTTGACCATACCTCACCACGGTGGTCAGCGCTGGTTCGTGAATGGAGGACCCAGGACGTGTTCAGATATCACTCGCTACCGATGCGAGTCATGGCCGCGAATCGAACTAAGGACCCATGTAGAATCGCATTTGAGTCCCCATTCGAAGAATCTATCATCTCTATTCCCTTGTATATCGAGTGTGTTTATCAATATGTCTGTGTGTCTGTGTGTGTTGCGTTGTACTCACTGAGCAGACCCGGGTTGGTGAATCGCCAGGCGTCATTGTAGGCCGTGTACTGTGGGTGGGAGTACGGATTCCCGGGGAACTCGCTCCCTGTTGGGACACATGACATGAACGCACAGAGAAAAAGGTCACCCCGCGTCATAGTCTTCTCGGACCGTTGGGGCAAGGGCTGCTAGCAAGCACCTATGAAGTCCGGAACCATGCATGGGCAGGTGGTGTGGCCGGAAACACGCTCGGAACCACGCTGATGATTACACTCCCCGCCAGGTACTCATTGAAGATTGAGTCAACCTGAGGGAAACCCAGGACCGGTTTATAAAACCTACCACCGATGTTGGTCGTGTGCAGGAATCAAACTCGGGTTGCCGCGTTCGAAGCGCGGTGCCCTAACCACCGTGCTACCGCTCCCCATGCACGCGGCACATTGACGTAAACAGCAGGCACAGCGAATGAAACACAAACACGGCGTGCACACTACAGATGGTGCGCAATCTGTATCTACAAACTGACGCACACGCACGGGCGCACACAAACGGTCGCACACACACACACACACGGGCGCACACACACACACACACGGGCGCACACACACACACACACGGGCTCACACACACACACACACACGGGCGCACACGCACGGGCGCACACACACACACACACGGGCGCACACACACACACACACACGGGTGCACACACACACACACACACGCACGGGCGCACACACACACACGGGCGCACACACACACACTCGCACGGGCGCGTGGCGATCGGCCTTCACCACCCTGACGCTCCGCAATCGCCACACTCGCAGGGGTGCCGGAGGCTACGCTCCGGCAGCTCGCGGTCGACGATGGTGTTTGGTGATGACGCGAGATCTACGTGTCCACGTGCCCCGCTACATAAGAGGAGAAGGTAAAGGTGCAGGCCTGCAATTTCCATTTCACACCACTGCTGGCCATAAGGACCTCCACTGGAGGGATCTCCAGAGAGTCTCTCCAGACAGGGTAATTTGGCCTACTCTTCCACACTGGCCACACATCTTTTACGGGGCGGGAGTACCCACGCTTTGTCCCACCATGCGCACACGCTGGCGCCCTGCCAATCGAATAACTGCCCGTCGTTTAAACTGCCGTGCCGGGAAATCGAATCGAACCGGCGACCTCTGGATAAGTAAGTCCAGCGTGCCGAGCGTGTCACCGCTGTGGCAGGGTAGTCACCAAAAAAAACGTGTTGTCGTTATTTTGTTTTATACCGTTTAATAGGCTGGGGTGAATCTTTGTTTTTGTGTCGTGTGCTGGGAATGCAAATCACGTCACCCCGTGAATTTAACAAACATACGGTGAGAAGGTGACCCCCGGTGCACTTTGTATAAATACAAAAAAGACCCTGAACCTAACGTAATTGTTTTAATTAAAGTATCACCGCTCCCGCATAATTGATGCATGTGACAGTCACTCTGATTAGCGGGGTAAGTGATTCGTCATCGTGAACGCGTTCGGCACCGGTCATCCGCGGGACACAACAAACACACCACCGCCACGCAGACCGTCATGGCTGGTGCTGTTAGCGAGCGACTATTAGGGCCAGCATAGCTCGCAAGGCGCAAGGCGTGGTGTGGCCTGCACCACTCGTCCCTGTCTGCCTCTCCGTCCCCAGAGATAGGAACACGACAGTTATTCGTGTTTGGCCGAATTCACCAAGGTGAGGCCCAGCTCCGATTGAGATACCATTGGAATTGCACCGTGTGTGCGGTTCGCAAAGGTTCTCCTGTAGCCCAATATAAATGGACTAATAGTATGACATTAATCACTCCCTACAATCCGATTCATTCACAAATGTTTTCTTGCGCTTATTGTGAACGTATAAACTACGGTGGTATGAATCCATAGCATCTCGAGCGGTGTGTGCGACAATCAGAAATAACCGATTCCCGCACACACTGCGACTCATGTATCCGTGAGTGTAGGGAGAGCTTTTTAATCAAGAATTTGTGAATGTTTAAGTCCCTGATAACGTGTACTCGCACAACCCCAGACATTACAATTTACCTACAAATTGTGTTTCGTCAAAACGCAGCAATGCAACGCTGTCTCGTTCAAACGATAACCATCTCAATAGCAGCCGTGATGTTTGAAGTCGTACATCAAAAAATAAAAATAATAATATCTTGTATTTGGGATTGGAAGTTTAAACATTTTGAATGCATATTAAGCGACGAAAACGACGTATTTACATTTAAAAGCGACACGCAGATTTTCGCTCCCTGCTGCGAGTGATTTATTACACATCTCAATTGAAAGATGTCTCCGCGAGATTTGGCCGGCAGGGAAAGGAAGGAAAAAAAATTGCACAGCGGCAGCAAAGGGGGAAATTTCCCACAATTCAGGCGTCATTTGCACATCACTTGCTCTCATTTGTACCTAATGTAATGCGACACCATCACGCGTTTCTGAATATATACACGAGCTATAATTACGCCCTGCTCTGACATTCACTTATTCACTTGTCCACTCGAAGCAGTACCTCTCTAGATTAGGGGCAGCCACTGGTAACCCAATCTCTGACAGGCCTGTCTCCCCACACTGATGTGGCAATTATGAGAATGCTCATCAAGTAGAAATACCAGGGTCTAAAACAATAAAGGTCCAGTGTTGAAACTCTCTGGCAGCCTTAATTTGTCCGATCAAAGGCAACTTGCGCCGGTTGCAATGCTCTATTTATTAGGAGGGGGCGGGGGGGGGGGCTTGAAAGACCGCAATTGTCTTGTCTGCTCACGAACGCGGCGGCTCTGATTTCCGCCGTGGCCGGCGTATGGTCACAAATGCCCTCTTAGCGCGACGCGCGCTTCAACCGGAGCGGCCGGGCGACGCATTCGCCTCGCCGCACACGGGCAACAAAAAGGTGTTGTTGGCTCAGGGCAAAATTTGGATGGGAGGCAAAACAAAAATACAATCGTGGAATGCCACGATCCTTTTTGCCTGTTAGGCGGCAAGAAGTCGAGTGTGGCCTCCTGTACGCTGCCTTGCATCGAGACAGTGGCACCAGCTGTATATTAGCCATTTAAAGTGATTTTGTAATGGAAGTCAACATGCTTGACCTCGGCAAATGTAAAATGTGCGTATTCAAAACATCGCTGCAAATGTTTAAGTGCGGTGGGCAGATCCGGGCCTTTGTCGCCTTGGCGAGCCGTCGCGCTGCCGGTACGTTCTCAAAAAAAACGTCGGATAAAAATGTGAAGCTTGCCGACACCTGAGTGGGGCCTCCTCTGTGACGTCGAGTGATCTCTTGTTGTGTTTCACGAGGTGGCCAGGGAAGGGCAGCACGGCAACGGAGCCTTGGGTCGACGCGGGCGGCGCTTTGAGTGCAACTCTCGGCTCGTATGCGTGGATTTCCTCAAAGCCAAACATCACTCACTCCTGAACGAGAGTCTTAAAACTCGGCGAGGCATTCCTGGATTCACAAGCGGCATTGTGTTTTTTTGCCAAACGTTTCTGTGGTATTTAATACAATGGATGCTACGGCTCAGTGACACCAGGAAACGCTGAACTAATGGCTACTCGCGTCCGTAATTGACGCCACCTTTATAATTACGTGACCCCTTGGCAAAACAGATTTCTACGCAATCCGTCAGCGTCCCGTGAGGTCGGAATGAAAGCGTCCACAGAAAAAGCCAATCACGGCGCGGAGAGAAAAGGGACCAAATTTTTATTATGCAACATTTTCGGCACTTAATAGCGTGTGATGATCCATCTTAAAATCCTAAACGGCCACATCCATCCCGAGCAAAACAACTCGGGGCCTAATCTCGCTCATCTGGCCTGATCAGTCTTACGAGGGCGGGCTCCTCTCCTCGCTGTCAGCTGTTTTAATTGGACGGCCAAATAAAAATAACCTCGCCACCAATTCGTTAACCTTCCGAGCCGCACGTCCCCCGTGCTTTCTCTCCCTCCGCTGCTGCTCAGCAAAAACAAAACCACAAAGGAAGGGCCCATCAGGTTGGAGTCTTACATCCTTCCCATAGGGGCAATAGCCATACTTCAGCCTGACACAGCTTGTTTACCATAAACAAACAGCCAGACACAATTATCCCCTGGCTCCAACAGCACGGCACAGAATGCGCCGCGCGCAGCAGCGCCGCCACTATTACGGCCGCCCCCCTGCCGAGGACAAGGATGGGGCTTGTTTGTCAACCTGCGTAGGATCAGGCTAATTCTGAACAGCAGCAGCAGCAGCAGCGGTGGTGTAAAAATATATACACACACACACAGACACCTCCGCACAGAAAGTTTGAAACAACTTGCGATGGTGTCTCTGTCCGATTGGTGATAAATTTCACGGAGGCTTCTGGCAACTGCGGCACATTCCTGGTGGATACCGCAAAGGGAAGTCGGTCTCGCACGCGTATCACCGATCGGGGACACGCAGGGCAACGTGGCTCTCGCTCGCTGGTGCCACCCACACCTTGCCAATGCTTCCTTCCTTCTACCAGAAAGATCTCACAAGGGCTGCACAGTCGACACCCAATTTCCAGGACCTATTCCTACGGCTTCATCCCACGCTACTTTGGTTTGATGGATTTCCATGTTACGCGCTCGCTATGTCCTTCAAGCATCGCTCTAACAGTCGTCTCCCTGGTCGCTGACCTATGGGTGCCACTCCGACGCCTGTCTCGGTACCCTGCCCCCCTCCACCCATCACACGCTTGCCGTCTTGGCCGTGTCGCCATCGAAAAGGGGCTTCTCAGCTTAATGGGCCTCAGCAAAATAAACTGACTGGCAACCTCGTCCTCCTGATTATATTCGCCACACTCTCCTGCCACGTTTTATTCCAAGCATCTAAGTTGCGTAACCTATCCTGCCATGCCATTTCAAATATCTTCTGCATGCACCCATAGTTTAAAAAAACAAAAGCTTCTGTTGTGGCTGCTTTATTAAAGTGGCAGCTCTATGTCAAAAGACAAAGATTCCCCTATAGACTTTAACGGAATGTTAGGGCAAGTGCTGTTAGCGAGCACCTATAAAGGCCAGCACAGCACACAAGGGGGCAGGCGGCCAACACCACGCCCGGCCACCTTTGTCTCCCCAGTGGCGATGTTTTACACACCGCACCAGGCACTCATTTGAAGCTGAGTCGACCTACGGAAGGCCCAGGACCGAATTGTCACTGGTGTCGGCCGTGAGCGGGAAACGAACCAGGGTCGCCCGTAAACGTGCACAGGTTGCATTCAGCGACACGTCCACCAAAATGCCACTGCGAAGCGGCCAGAGCCAGAACAAAGGAAGACCCAGCGACCTGGCCGCTGGGTCATAATCATCACCTCCGCTGTTGCAGCTGCCAAGCACGGCCAGGTTAAACCGGGCCACTGGACCGCCGGGCACCTGCAGTGCGGGAGGGCTCCAGGAGGGCTGGTGGGGTTGAGGCAATTGAGATTTGCGGTGGGCCGGGCGAGCGACACCGCCCACTGCAGGTGCCACTCACGGGCCCCCCCCCCCACCCCGGCGGCCCTGTGCCAACCACGGAGACCGTGGGAAGAACGTGGCCCGGGCTCCCAGCCTCCCTTACGAGCACCCCAGTCGTAATAATTACGGCGGTGGCGATGATGATGATGATGATGATGGCGATGCCCTTTATTTACCCGAGAAAGCCTCACTGAGTCTCAAAGTTCTCTCTCTCTCAGGAGGAGAGTCCAAACATGGGGCACGTTTGGCAAATTCCATGAATGAGAGTTTGGCTGCACGTGGGATGAAACCAGAGAACCCAGAGAAAACCCAAGCCATTCACAGTTATTTATTTATATACTGCTACAGATCCGGGCTTTATGCTCTCGAGATAACGGTGAACAGCTTATCAAGCCTCGGTCAGCGGTGGAAATGACCACCTTGGCTTCTTCTCATCCTGTTGTCAGCCTACGGGGTCGAGTGGCTCCTGCCACGAGAATGTGTAATTTACACCATTGGCTCGCTGCTGCTAATGCAGATGGAGGTGCTGTGGTGACGCCACCATCTCGTAGTGGTGAATGGTGGCTTTCGTCGTTGTGGTTGTTGATGTTGTGTGCGTTTGCGATCGCGTACCGGGTACCATGCCGGCCAGGCTGGAGGAGGAGTAGCTGCCTTGCCCGGTGGGGGGAACGTGGGGAGGGTACCCGGGCAATGTGGTGCTGTTCCCGAGCTCACGGCCTGTGGGTGGCAACACGCCAGGTGACACGCACAAGAGACAAAGATATCCCGGTTAGCCTCAACCGCACCGCTGCGGCAAGTGCAGCCTACGGGGTAGGAACGTTTGTGTGCCCGTTGTTGAAGCTTACACATAACACCAGGTACCTATTTAATCACTCTGACGACCTAGGGTAAGTCCAGGACAGGTTCAGATATCACTTGGCAATGATGTGCGTGGCTTGGAATTGAAGCCAGTTCACCCAGGATTGCGGCTCCCGTGTGTAAACTAATGCATCACTGCTTCCCCCACTCACACTTAGACATACCACACGCTCGCATATGCCACACGCATTCACAGTGCACACACAGGCACCACATGCACATAGCACGCAAAGCACATGTGCACACACAGTAGTTTCCTACAATACATATATGGGTCCGCCCCAGTCCACATGTGACAATTCCACATTCCTCAGTGGGGGCCAGTCCTCCGCAAGGTAAACACCTTCCCACAGCGTGGTACTTATTCGATCGACCATGGAAGAATGATGATGATTAAGAAGAAGATGATGAGGCCAGTTTCCCCTACAGGACAAACACCGTCTCACAGACCGGTACTTATTTTATCAAGCACAGACGGGATGATGGGGTGAGTCGACCCCCTGGTTGGGACTTCAACCGGGAACCCTCAGGTTGTGAGCAGAGCACCGAAACGTCGCGCGGTCGACGCGAGCCAATTGGCACGATTTCCAAACGGGACTCATCGCCGCGCCGTCACGCACGCGGCGTTTATTAATTCCAATGAAAGCAATAAAGTGCAAATACAATCTTTCATCATGGATTCATCAAGGAACAATATTAATTTAATGGGAAGCAAAGTGTGGGGCGTGTGCAGGCATATTTTAAAACGCGGCGGCGCAGGTGGCGCGTTCGCTTTGGCGCGGTGGCCGCGTCTCAACGCTGCAATTACGCGGCCGTCAGGCACGGCTAAGGCGGCGGTCTGATTGAAGCGCTCGACTCACGCTCAGAAGCTTGCCAATTCAAATCAAGTCAACAGGGATTGGCTCCTGCCATGGGAATGTGGAATTTCTACAAATGGATGAGCACCTGCCCCCGTTGCTCATTTGCACGGGGGAAACGAATGACATTTGATCGGTCGACTCAGAAGTTGCAGTCGCCTTTGCAAAGTCTATCTCGCGACTCGCCGCGGCCACCGCCGCCGCCATCCAAACGCGGAATTTCCACCACCGCTGCAGGGTCCGGCAAGAGATACCGGCAAGAGATACCGGCAAGAGATACCGGCAAGAGATACCGGCAAGAGATACCGGCAAGAGATACCGGCAAGAGATACCGGCAAGAGATACCGGCAAGAGATACTGGCAAGAGATACCGGCGCTGCTATCGCTGCTCGATGGAGCAGGGCAACTCGTCCGTTCGTGGCATTTCGACTCCCGACTCGGGACGCTGAGCACGGCTCCGTTTTGCGGAGAGGGGCCCCTTTACGTGCGTGCGCGGTAATCGGTGTCCCGCCGCACCTGCTGCGCTCGCAACACGAGTCTCCGCACTCCGAACAAGTCCCCCCACATTTCTTTCAGATCCCAGACGACAATCAGACAACCCCCCCACCACCAGCACCACCACACTCCCACCCACCAAACAGCACGACGATTTTCACACGCAATCAGCCCCAGGCCTTCGCGTCGGAGGGGGGAAGGGGAGTTGGCCGAGCGAACCTCGCGTCCGCGTTGACGCCGCAGCGCCCGTGTGAACAGGTCAAGTGAGGGTCAGAGGGCATTCCTACTCGCACGAGCCTGGGGTGGAACTCATCCCTGCTCGGGACAATTCCATATTCCTATGGCAGGAGGCAGTAGGACAACCACTACTGACTTCCCATGAAGTAACTTCTCACAGAGTGGCATTCATTGTATTCGTCCCTTGAGGAATGACAGACTGAGTCGAACATCTCCTGTAATGCGTGCGAACGATTGTGAAGCAGGCGGTCCACCACGTCTGTGCTCTATCGAGACCAATGAATCTTATCGTGGGTGCGAGTGTCCATCAACAAAACGCGTCTTTTCAAAACATGCGCGGAAACTCCCCCTTCCTGCTATCCTCCCGAATTCGATCACGCCAACCTCGAGCCACCGCACCACCGGTCATCTTCTCGACATGAAAGGAAAGGGCCCAGATCATCCCCGTGCTCTAATGATGAGCACTGGGGCAGCGCTGATCTGCAGTGATGTTCATAACCAAGTGATGGAAATTACACATTCATGAGGCAGTTACCATTCCATCCGTAAAACAAGATCCAGGCGGTGCCAGTTTTACCAAACATGTAAAACAATGGGCTGAGTTGACGACCCCTGAATAAGGATTTGAACTTTGAACTTAACACGGGATTTATGTTACATCACTTCCAGCACCTTGAGTTATGAGAGACCGACAATTTTTCAAAAGTCACCCACCAGCACCGGTCATTGGGGAACAGGCCGTTCTTTTGTATGTACGTACGAAAGTACTCTATTTTGAATTTCTTTCGCACCGTACATCGCCAACCATGCTAATCGGAGTTGCCGGGAAAGGACAACCGGGCTCAATTCAGATGCGGCCTGGGAGTTGAACCCAGCGGCTCCGCACTAGAGGATCGGTGCTCTTATACGGGAAGAGTGTGAGCATCAGCAGCCCCCTCAGCTACCAAATAAGTGTAACATGTGAGGGAAGCGACTGCACTGTGATTAGCACACTGCCCTGTGAATCCGGCGATCAGAACTTTGATTCCCGGCTCACATCAGTGCCGAGTGATGCCTGAACCGGTCCTGGCCACACCCCACCTTCACCAACCCGCGACTGACCAGCGCGGTGAAGTATGGTCAAAAACACCCTCGCGACCGAATGGAAATTAAATCGCATGTAATCAACTAGTAGCAATTTTATCACACACGCGAAAAAAAACGAACACATTTATCCCGACCACGTATGAGGCGGTGGCATATGGCCTCGCAAACAACGGAGACACGGTTAACTGTGTAAAGCAACATTCCTCTCGTAAAAGAGCTTGTTCAAGCAAAGGTTAACCAAACAGACACACTCTCCAGATTAGGCCCCCAGGGTACAATCGAGACACCATATGTCATCACTTTCCCAAACACCTCGCATCTCCTTCCTGCCCAGCTCTCGTCCCAAACTCCCCCCCCCCACCCACCCTTTGTTATTTTCACTTAATCCACTTAGTTTGTTTCTCAAAGACTGTGTGCACTTTGGGGCAACGTTCCTGCTTCGTGTTTTATCAATTTTAAAGCAATCGTTCAAGAGCTAAGTCGATTTAATAATTGCGTGGCTTCAATCTGATATGTACTTTATATTAATTCGTGTTAATTTCATCATTGTGTGGCTACAATCTGATATGTACTTTATATTCATTCGTGTTGTTTTGTTTTATTTTTCGAGAAAGTAAAACAGTTACTGCAAGTTTAAATTGTACGTCCGCGTGATTTTATATCAATCGAAGGAAGGAATTTGACGAAACGTCACAATTGAAGTTCGTGATTAGATTCAAGAATAGATTTTTTTAATTATTAATATTGTTATTGTAGTGAATTTTAACACATTTTCTGGTTGCAGCGCTGACACAGCCCCATTAAACACGACACAGGTAAGACAAAGACGTATCTATTTCAACACACAAAAAATTATATACACCTATTGTGAGCTTAAGAAACATGAATATTGGATGAATCGATGCATCGTTATACCGATAGCAGTAATAATATGATTTTGGCTTCCAAAAAGTTCAGATTTAACCGAATAGCTTCCAATAATAAATAACTTATCTATATGGCCTAAAACAAAGACAAATATGGGTCATTGCATTGGCTATGAACACCTTCGTTTTAGGTCAACGAACTTTAAAATAATCATGGCAAAGCCAAAGTGTCTTCGTGCTCAAACGGCCATGGGGGGCGGTGTTCACTTCCCGAGGCTGGCCTTTGCTAGTGATGGTTATTCCAGATTCCAATGACAGGGGTAAGTCTTACCGAAGGAAAATTGGACGTCAATCACCGACTCCATTCTGCCTGGCAGTCTCCAAAAAAACATAAATGCATGCTAGTGATTTCCTGTGCTTCAGGAAAGATTAAAACCCACGTTACTTGAAAGCCGACTGCAGCTACCAGCTTAAGTAAGGGGGGCCGTTTAGGTGAAACTCACTGGGGTGTGCGTCAGTTTCTCAGAGAAGCTGAGAGACGCACGGGGCAGAGGGCATGGCACAGCGTCACTAAAACGGGGCAGAGGGAAACTCGCGATTGGCAAAAAAAAGAGGGGGCGTCGTCAACGTGAGCACGTTCATTTCTTTAAATATATAACTCAAAGGTGGGAAATTAGCGAATCGGATTTCGGGGATTCTCCTTTTTTCTTTTCTTCCCCGCGGGCAGACGGACGGACCGGCACTGAACTCAAGTCGAGGCACATCAAGTTCCTAATGCACGGCAGGGCCGCGGCATCAAATGAAAGCCCCGCTGCTTGTCCCCCCGCCCCCCCCCCCCCCTGCGCGTGCACGCCGGGCCGCTGCTGTCTGTTGCCACAGGTGTGGATTTAGTGTAATCGTGAGGGCTCTCTCTCTCTCCGCTCGAGAAAAAAAAAACACGCACACATCAGCCTACTCCACAGTTCTACAGTGAAAGGCATCACTGTCAGCACGGTTAAAGGCAATTGCCGAATTTGACTCCGCTTTGTGTTGTGCCTTTTGTGTCCATCAAAGCGGCTTACCTGTTTTATTATTTAGTGTCGGGGGCATTTTATGTCAAAACCTACAGGACGCGTGTCGTTAAAAATCCTGTACCCCTCCCATAGGGAATTTTTAAACAAGAGGCATAGCGAGGATAAACAAACCATTACGTGATCGAGCATGAATCAAAACACTCGCCTACGGAGCTTGTGAACATTTTATTTTTTTTATAAAGTATTTCAGGGATTTGGCTTTGTAGAACCCGACTCAATGTGGACAAAGTTCAATTCCTGGTAAA